CCCCAAAACCCCAAAACCCCTAAGTGTGTTTGAATTGATTAAGTTTCAAATTGTAATAAAATTGTTAATATTTTTATTAAAAATATAAATAGATGAGTGAAGAATTGTTGAGTACTTAAGAGGAATTAAAACAGTGCCATGATTCAAAAAATTCTCCAGTAAATTTCAAAAATTCTTAATGTACAAAAAGATAATCATTCAGGAAACTATCCAGCAGGAGATTAATTTCTAAATCAACAGTTGTAGGCAAACTCAACAGATTATAGGCCAACAGCGCAATATTTCAAATATCAGGTCATCGCCGCTGGGGTATAATTAAAAAGACAACAAGAATAATAACTTATTCAGAAAGTTAGGAGCCTCAAGTTCAATAAAAAAGACTCTCTGCATGAGTAATACGAAATCCAAGAACAAGCTAAGGCAGTCTGCTTTGATGAGACCAAGGATTAGGCATACATATTATGATGAAAATAGAGGAATATATTCTGAGTAAAGACCTTAATAGCGGCAATATGTGGATGTAGATTTGAAAAATCAATTTTTAGAAAAACTCAACTCTTTTAGTTAGGCTCGCTCTAATAGTTAAAAATGTAATATTAAATTAAATAATAATTTATTCTCATATGATCGCTAACAAAAAAACTATAGTCGATATCAATATTTACGATCTCATTTCAGATGGATGCCCCTTTTAAATCATAAAGGTTCAGGGGGAAAGAGCTTGCGATCTTTACCAGGCAGCTGTGAACTATTACAGATTAATTTTAGCTAGAGATATAAAAAGCTTGTAGCTATTCATTTTTCACTCAAGACTTCCTGCTGAAGGATTGGAAAAATAAATTGAGCATAAGTTTCTTGAACTTAATGAAGCAACATATGATCCATTTCACCTTTACATAATCTACACCCCTAGGATGGAGAGTATATAACTTTATGACATTAATGCTAAGAATGCTCTAGAAAAACAAGGAATCTAGAGGATTCGTGCTATGCATGAGATAAGAGACTAGAATCTAAATAACATAACACTCCAACAAAAAATTAACTTTGTCCTTAGATCGACATAAAGTACAGTACCAGCTAACACAATGGTAAGAATATTCTATTTAATCTTCATTAGATAGTAATATCTGACGATGATGATGAAAATAATATATAAATGCAATGTGAGCCGTAATCCATAATAAATATTCCTCATTTCGGTGCTTAATCTAGAAGTTCTTTTATGCCTTTTCGAGAGATTCAGATTGACCATAGTGACTATGAGAATGATCCATTCCTGAGTGCATCATTCAAGAAGCTTATTGATTAATTGAAAAGACAGGAAAAGGCTCTCGGCTCTAAAATCATGGCCTATGACATTGAGTGGAAGGTTCGTCAATTTGTCATGCAAGTACTTATCCATGCTTTTGAAGAACAAAACCTAAGAATTGATGGTGAGGTGCCGATTAATGTCTTTGGCAAGCGCATTAGTCCCGACTTACAAGTAATAAGCAATGATGCCAGTAACTAGACTCTGTATATTATAGAGCTAAAGAAGGTGATTAATAGATCAAACAATGTTAATTAAGGAAGTAATAAACTTGAGGATGCCCTATATTAGAACTTTCAGTAGTTGAGGCATCACTGTATTTAGAACAGGTAAATGAAGATGCTTGGAGTGCTAACTAATTACAAAGAATGGTACATTACTTAGTACAGCTTCAAAAAGGAATTTGACTACCAACTAGAAAGGAAATTTAATAAGAATTCCTTAGTCAGTGAATAAAGGTTTGAGATAAGCTAGAAATTTACAATTTTGAATGACGACTTTAAGCTTGATGTTCTTGAACTTAAGAAAATCATAAACATTCTGGAGTGGTTAGCTATTACTTTTAACAGCTGAATCGCTATCAAGTTGAGTTCATCAAGGATTTATTCTCAAACTTATAAGAGCGGAGTGCAATTGTGAAGAAGACTCTGCTCACAGCAATTAATATAATCTTATCTTTATTTCCTTAAACAGATTTAACTTAACTTTTTTGTTGGATTATTATAAATACCCAACAATTAATGACCCTTCAGATGGGGTTTTGGGGTTTTGGGGTTTTGGGG